CTAAATGTTTGTTTACAAATGGATCAATATGGCACTTCTGTGTATTTGATGCAGCCATACCATTCTAAATGTTTGTTTACAAATGGATCAATATGGCACTTCTGTGTATTTGATGCAGCCATACCATTCTTAATGTTTGTTTACAAATAGATCAATATGGCACTTCTGTGTATTTGTTGCAGCCATACCATTCTTAATGTTTGTTTACAAATGGATCAATATGGCACTTCTGTGTATTTGTTGCAGCCATACCATTCTAAATGTTTGTTTACAAATGGATCAATATGGCACTTATGTGTATTTGATGCAGCCATACCATTCTTAATGTTTGTTTACAAATAGATCAATATGGCACTTCTGTGTATTTGTTGCAGCCATACCATTCTTAATGTTTGTTTACAAATAGATCAATATGGCACTTCTGTGTATTTGTTGCAGCCATACCATTCTAAATGTTTGTTTACAAATAGATCAATATGGCAATTCTATGTACCGGTAATAGTGCAGTGTTCTGATGTACACAGTCGAGACCCTCAAACCCATGTTTGTACACATAAATGCATTAGTAAAGCAAATCGCTTCATAAATAATATCTTTGAGTCTCATATTAGATGGAAATGAAATACTATTGGATATTGAATGAAGTCTTTAAAATATCACCCCAAAATAGTTGAAATATTACCCCGAAATTGTTCAAATATTACCAAAAAAATAGTTGAAATATTACCCCAAAATAGTGTATAGGTTGGTCTAAGAGCTATTTAAAAAAAGGCGAATCAATTTAAAAAATCATTTTGTTTCAGTCTAACTATGAACCAGAACGTTTTAACATTTCACTGGCACCTCTGGACGATGATCAGCCAAAGCCTTACAATGATGCTTCCTTACCAGGCGTGAACAGGGGAATTCACTCGTTAGGCAGATTATATGGTGCCAATGTTTTATTTACTGGGGATGCCCTTGGCCAAATTTTTATTCAGGACTACGAATACAAGAGGAGCAAAGTAATCAAGGTAAGCTATACCTAAACAAGGTTATAGTCATCAAGGTGGTAAGCTAAACCTAAACAACGTCAAAGTCATCAAGTTAATCAATACTCTGCATGCAAGCTAGATATTTTTGTTGTTCATATTATAAATTAACTAGTTGTATAGTGAAATATTTTCCCCAACTTTTTAGGTATAATCTATTTGTTGGTCTTTGTAGACTAGGAAAGACATCTGTAAGTTTTAAAGGTCAGTCCACAGCCTAAGTTGTGTAGGGGGGCAGTTGACAGCCTCAGTTGTGCACATCTGTAAGGGTCAGTCGACAGCTTCAGTTGTGTAGGGGGTCAGTTGACAGTCTCATTTGTGCACATCTGTAAGGGTCAGTCAACAGCCTCAAATTATACAGGCAATGAAGAAATTCAATGGAACCAATATAATCCATTTTCATATTTAATACAAAAAGAAAAGTTTTCTAAATATCTGCCAATTACAACACAAAATGTCAATTATAACACTAGAAGCCAATTATAACACAAGATTCCAATTAAAACACAAGATGCCAAATAGAATACAACATGCCAATTACAACACAAGATGCTGACTATAACACAAGATTGTCAATTATAAAACTAGATGCCAATTATAACACTAGAGGCCAATTATAACACTAGATGCCAATTAAAACACTAGATGCCAACCATAACACAAGATGCCAACTATAACACAAAATGCAAATTATAACAAGATGCCGATTATAACACGAGTTGCGATTATAACACAAGATGCCAATTATAACACGAGTTGCCAATTATAACACGAGTTGCCAATTATAACACAAGATGCCAATTATAACACAAGATGCCAATTATAACACGTGTTGCCAATTATAACACGAGTTGCAATTATAACACAAGATGCCAATTATAACACGAGTTGCCAATTATAACACAAGATGCATCCTTCTTATAATAAATTCCAAATCTGACATATTCCTTGAGCAACATTTCATGTATTGCAACGCATCCTACAATTGTTTGAACTGATCTTGAATGACAGATCCACAAGTCGGCAATCACGGGTATAGAATGTTGTGAAAATACCATCATCACTGCCTCAACTGACTGTACCATCAAAGTCTGGAGATACCACACTAATTACTTTCAATATGATCCTATCAGCTTCACTCAGGTACTGTCGCCATGTTGGAGAATGATAATGTGGGCGAATGTTGGTGGTGTGGATCAATGTTGGTGGTGTGGATCAATGTTGGTGGTGTGGGACAATGTTGGTGGTGTGGGACAATGTTGGTGGTGTGGGACAATGTTGGTGGTGTGGGTCAATGTTGGTGGTGTGGGTCAATGTTGGTGGTGTGGGTCAATGTTGGTGGTGTGGGTCAATGTTGGTGTGAGAGAATGAAGTTGGTGTTGGAGATGATGTTGGTGGGTCAAAATGTTTATGTGGGAGATCTTTATGCCAATGACGTAAGAGAGAATGTGGTTTTTGAGCAACAAAAAGCAAACAAAAGAATGATGGGTAATCACAAAAGTACTCTTAACCAACATATTTGTTCTAGATGACCATATCTTATTCTCTGTACTAGATGATCACACCTCATTCTCTGCTCTAGATGACCACATCTTATTCTCTGTACTAGATGATCACATCTTATTCTCTGCTCTAGATGACCACATCTTATTCTCTGCACTAGATGACCACATCTTAATCTCTGTACTAGATGACCACATCTTATTCTCTGCTCTAGATGACCATATCTTATTCTCTGCTCTAGATGACCACATCTTATTCTCTGTAATAGATGATCACATCTTATTCTCTGCTCTAGATGACCACATCTTATTCTCTGCACTAGATGACCACATCTTAATCTCTGTACTAGATGACCACATCTTAATCTCTGTACTAGATGACCACATCTTATTCTCTGCACTAGATGACCACATCTTATTCTCTGTTCTAGATGACATCTTATTCTCTGTAGGGGATGATATTTTATTTTATATTTCTTTAAAATAACTTTTTAAAAACCCATTTTCAGATTGGCCAGTTTTTTTCCCCATCACCTTTGATGGCGTTGAGAATTTGGAGCTATCGGAAGGATCCCATTCACTCAGCCATTAAAATCTGTGCAGGTGATCAGCTTGGCAACATTCTGGAGCTTGTGTGGAATTCTTAAAGTGCAAAACTGTTTTCAAACTTAATATTATTAAGTAGCTTTCTTTATACTTATGAACAATTATCTTTGAGTTGATTTTGTACAGCCGTTTAAGTTATTCGTGCATGAAATGATGGCCTAGTATGTGATTGCATAAAGTGATGGCCTAGTATGTGATTGCATGAAATGATGGCCTAGTATGTGATTCAAACTGATTGGTTTAATTTTTTATGAAAGTTATCATGATGAATAATTGTGATGCTGCATTTTTTTTTCATTTTTAAAACTATTTTTTATCAAATATTTTCTAAACTTGTATTAGTTTATGTTGACCGTGATCCTATTCAGTAAACATCAATCAATTATTTACTTTCTCAATGCATTTTTAAGTATAATCCTATTCAGTTAACATTAGCCAATAATTTCCTTTCACAATCAATTTTAAATTTTTTGCCACCAAGAAGTAAAAGTGATTGAAATTTGTTTATACTAATTGGGAGAGTAAATAGTCCATTGAAATTAGAATTCATTATAACTTGGAAAATATGATATGTTATTCATCTTTCTTTAATTTATTCAATACCAGTATATAAAATAATTCCAGATTGAACATTGAGTAATTCTTGTAGTATTAGATGAATGTCAAGGTAGAGTTGAACATTTTTAATTCTAATAGATGAATACCAATGTTTAGATAGTGTCTCTTAGCACTTGGCACTGTGCCTAGTCCTGTTTTCGGGAGTTGCTCTGATGACATCACCTGTTGCAGTTGTAACAATGCATTGCAACTCAATTCCTTGTTCTTTGTTTCAAAATTTCTATACTTAGATAAATTTTTCATCACTGAAAAGTCGATGATGATAATAATCCATTTTACATGTATTTTTCATTCTTTGAAACGATTGTCTTTAGTTTTATTATTGAATGGTTGTTCATGCCGTCATGGGCTCAAGCTAGAAGCCTACCTTCATTATTCTGTGGAATATTCATGATGGTTGTTCATGCCATCATGGGCTCAAGCTAGAAGCCTACCTTCATTATTCTGTGGAATATTCTTTCATTGGTTAACAATTCCTAGTTTGTCAGATTTCTCTGTGTGTCATATAACTATGTCCTTTTCTATTTGGATATTGGAATAATTAAAATAATATTTTTTTGAATTTGAACTGATTGGTTTATCTCTACATTAAAAGACAACAGTTTGGCTGCATATGAGTATTAGCTTTCTGAATGTTTACAATGACATTTCTACAAGGACATTTCTACAATGACATTTCCTTTAATTTCCAAGAGAATGTTTGTGTGTGACATGTTAAATACCGGTGTATATATATATATAAAACCATAACTGCTAGTTACAGGCATATATCTCTATTTACAATTAATAGCATCAGAATGTATTTTTCATACTGCCATCGAAATGAACAGGTGCATGATTGATCACATATGCTACTCGTTTAATTTGCATATTTATACAATCTCTGTCCATTCAACATTAACTGTCATGATGTACTTGTCACTTTACTGAAGGATGTTAATAAGTTAAAAATAGAATTTTTTTTTTTTCACATCATGAATTATGTCTTATCCAAGTGAAATGGCTTAAATATCTTAAGAGATTTCAACTAGGTTGTGAATGTCAAAGATCTCCCAAACAGCCAACAGAGCTCATTTCATCTTCTTGTATCAAGAAGCCAGGGAAAATCCACTGACTGATGCTGTTTGAACTAATTTATTCAGATACATTAGATACAGTTGTTTTGTTGCTTTGTTACTACTGGCTGTTAAATACCAAGTACAGGGAATAATATAAGTATTTAAATGTTGTCATGTTTTCTCATGTTTATTTTCTTGTCAATGTTGATGTTTTGGAATACTGATGTGGGAGATTTTTTTTTTTTTTCCACAATAAAATAATCATTAGATGCTAGAAAACAAAGATAAAGGATTGGTTTTATTGCCTGTTGGTTGTTTAAACTTGAGTGTGTAAACTTGGTCTACTTTCTTAAATGTAACTTGATTAAAGAAAAAACAACGGAAGTTTATGGCTCAGTGACTTTTAATAGCAGCACTGCCTGTAGTTTTAATAAATAGATTTGTTGAATTGCAAGTGCAAATATTTAATTGTTGAAATATCTCTTTCTGATTATTCCTTTAGTTATGTAAAACTTTAGGTGCATATTACATGCAGCAGACAATTGTTGCAACATATTTGCAGGGGTCGAAGGCTAGTTATCACACGCCCCATTTAACCATGCTAATTAACATTACAAGCCGTGCACGAACAGTCCAACTTTGGTAGTTGGTGTGTCACAAGGAACGAGTCGCTACATTTGAAATCAACCTTTTGAAAACTGCTGACGGTCCCTACGCAGCATGAACAGCTTTTCATTTCCAGCCGTTTAGTTTGATAGTTGACAAACTGGGAACTTGCCGAGCACGGGCCTTGACAAAACTCCTGCTGCACTTTGACAAGTGATCGACAGTCGTCAATGGTGACGTAGCTGGGAGGCAATCTGTGCACCTTGCATATTTCCTTGGCAACACAGTCAATAACACAGCAACTGTCTTGGGATGGGACAAGCTGATGAGTGGTCTGAAAAGGGACTTTATTGTTGTGTTATCAAGCCAAAGCAAAGAATTGTTTGTAAAATGGATGTTTTCTACAAAGAAGTAAGACGCTAAATTTATTTCTTTAAATCGTTAAGACAAAACAAACAAGAAAACACTTTTCATACCAGATTACACTGTTTGATATCTGTACAGACTTTCTTCTGCTTGAATACAAAAGCTCTGCCACATTGGCACACGTGGCAGTCCCCGCATGGAACAGTTTCACCTACCTATGTTTTTTTTAACATAAATCATAAGTGGTTTAAAGTTTTGTTTAACAAGTAATTTTACTGGATAAAATCTTTTTCTTCAGAAGTGGCTTATTTCTGGGGCTACTAATTTTATTTATTTTAAGACCTTAAATAGTTATTCAATAACTTCGTGGAATATCACCAAAATACTCAATATATTTTACAGATTCAATTTATTTTTTAAAAATAAATAAATTCTATTGAATTATTAAATGATTTAAATCTAAGAGAAGTAGTTTCTCAAACATTTGTTGAAATAAAGCTAAATAAGCTTATGTTTCACTTAATATTACCTGGTTTGTTTTAGCCCCGTAAGCACAGCTTAGTGAGCATTTCACTTAATATTACCTGGTATGTTTTATCCTCGTAAGCACAGGTTAGTGAGCATTCTTGAAGTGGTATACATTTGTTGCCATCATTAACAAGATGGGAGGGACACACACAAGCACCAGATAGTTGTAGGTAACATTCAGGGGAAGGCTCTTTCTCACAAGTTCTCTGGCACAAGCTAAAATTTGACCATGTCAGGTGCTTTGGGCATTCTGCAGTGGTATAAAGGTTGTAATGCATAAACAATCCAAGCTTCTAATCCTTTCTGCCTGTATCGGACACACTGAAATGCACTCAATAATCTCAAGTTATCCTTCAGTCTCACTTTGAAAATATTCAGACTATCAGAAAGGGTAGTAGACTTGCAAGTCCTTTAAATCTCCTACATAAAAAAAATTATTCTACTTTTGATTTTTAAGCGGTGAATGTCTTAAATAGTCGTCTGCTGAAAAAGGAGGGGACATCACTTATCAAGATTTTTCCTGTGGGATTGCTTTACCTTAGAACTGTATATTCCTATTTGAAGTCATGTGAAGTCACTATACAAAGGATAACTTCTGGCTACAACAAGATGGCAATATAATAATACACAAAAGGAAGGAATCTCAGTGTGTAGGCGCATCAGTAAAGCAAGGGAGATAGTTAAAAATGATTATTGGAAATTGGCTTCGGCGCAAGAAAATTTGAACTTTTAATTAATTTTAATTGTTTTGCGATTTCATTCAGGATCAGAATTTATGCTTTTATCAACGTATTTCTCCTTCTAAATACAACTAAAATATAGTTCTACTGTTAGGCTGAATAGGAAGAAGCCATCTTGTTCGGAAACAGCCGGAACTCTCTGTACTCACCTCTCACCTGTGGTTCCAAGAAGTTGTAACATGCACAGCAACCACAACCCAGACAACGATTCCAGGTTGAGGGTAGCCGAAAGGCATAGAACTTTCAGAAAAAAAGGGGTTGTCCCCCATAGCATGTAAAGACTGAATCTGGCAAATTGTGTGGAAGAACCACTACTTGGTCAACGGACAAAAGGCGGAGACAGCACAGTGGTGTGAATCGCTGAGAGCATGGCCAGACACGTAGAACGCCGTGGTCATTCACTGCATGGGTGACTGGGTGGCCGAATGGTCTAAACTGAGCAAACCTCAATTCCAGCCAAAGGCAGGTCAAGACAAAAAAACATCACCCCGGGTGGATGAGACTCATTAACCTTGGTTGGCAACTCATCTAAGAGAAGGAAACTCTGAATTCAAACTCGGAGTTGGAGTCCCGTCAGGTGCATACAATGACAATTCCTGCAACCATACCCATCCCTGGTCGTCTTGACGTAGAGTCTTGCCACTGGATATGGTGGGCCCGGACGAGAGGGTGAGGTTGACGCCGCGCATCTCTTCCTCACTTTAAACAAAAGTCACCCGCACAAGTCATCAGTCACCGGACGACTCGATGGTCATCGTCGATCCTCGACAGACGAACAACAAGTGAAGTTTGTATTTAATTTATTCACATGTCCAAAATCTACCAAAAACTAACTGACCATATTTTGGTATGTTTGTCACAAATGTATAAAACCCCCCATCTAATTAATAGAAATTAATATACCAGTATATCTGATACAACAGATACAAAAAAATAAAACTACCATAATAGTTATTATATTGCCAAATAAGCTCATGCCAATATTTTTGGATGGGAAAACCCTGAAAAGTGTATAACTAGCTTAAAGCCGAGCTTAGAAAATAAATGCCACTAAATACGGTACGAAAGAATATGCAGGATGAAATACTAAGGCCAATCTTGCTAACATTGTAATTGACTTTAATTATTCACTATCTTTATGTTGAGCCAATTGCGTCTTGGGTCATCATTTGGGTAGGGCAGCTCCACCCCTACAACAGTGTGAATTTGTAGGGAAAAAAATGTACTAGGTAACTAAGTATCAGTATCTTTGACAGCAGACAGAAAATCAAACTTAGCAAGAAATAAATAAGGAAAAGAAAAAAGAATAAGGATTCAGAAAATGGAAAGATATGAAAGAATTGTTGACACAATATGAGTCCAGTAGCAAGCACAAAGATGGATCTGATCTGTGGACGTTAGAAAAGAATGTGTCAGCTGGAAAGGCTGTTTGTATTATTTCACTATTATACAAATATGTACAATGCAACACTTTTAACCTGTATACTTGAAGAACTATTTGAAGGTATCTGCATTTGTAAAAATGAAAAAAAAAGGCTGACACATATTTGGACCATATTGGGCAATGAAAGACGATGAATGTTAAGATATTTCTCACAAAGAACAACTGAGCTCCATCATCAGATCCACTTTACCATAGGGTTCAGTTTGGGGAAAGCCACATGCCCAGTCGCTAGCAACTAGTATCAACAAAAAAAATTTAATAAAAAAAGTAACATGGAATAAATGTTTTGCCCAATGCTATTACGGCGCTTTGGTCATGAGTGGCAGCCTTCGAGGTGTTCAGGCAAGAATTAAAGAAATATCAACACTGGTATTCTACATACACTGCCATGCCCATCGTCTAAATGGAGTCTTAGTCAACTTGATTGAAAATATACAGGAGGTCATTGACATTCTTTCCATCATACAATCAGTGCAAGCACAAAATGAGGATAATGATGAGTTCTTGGTGTTTGTACAATTGGTTGGTGGTCTTATTGGTATGGGCCTGTACGCAAATAAAGCTTGAAATTCAAATAATTGTTAATGCATTGGAAGCCTTTGGAGTACATAAGAATGCTGACACTTGAGCAATAGCAGAAAGCTGCAAAAACAAATTAATTGAACATCTTTTCTGCGTTGTCTTTAAGTTATTGGGGGGGAAAGCCAATTCATTATTGAAAGAAGCTGATGGAATTGGAGTTGAAATTGGAATTCCACTGAACGATAACTACTACAGTACAAGGCCACAAAGAGCTCAGATGATGTCAAACAAATTATCAAAATATTTTGTGCTGTCAAAACTGGTAAAAACGGTAATGGAAATGGCTCTAACTAATGAGGATTCAATGCACACCGGAATCCTTCTTGCATGTTTTGACAAGTTCATCCCCAAACTCTGTGCTCGATTAACAGTTAACTGTAAGGTTCTTAAATGTGTGTCTGCATTAAACCCAAGTTCATCAAAATTTTATGCCTGCATACCATGAACTTGTGAAATATTATATCCTACTAAACGTATTGCTACAGTAATGATTCATACACCAGTATCTTCTGCAAATTCTTTCATCAAATCATTTTTTAAAAAATTGGTGACAATTCATCAACTTCAAACATTCTTGCATCACCTTCCACATGGTTTAATTGAAAGTAATTGTCCTTGTCCTTTTATTATCGGTGACTTCAGTAAGCAGCGATTGTTTTTTTTTTAGTTGCATAAAAACAGTAAAAACACAACAAAGAAATAGATGTGAAGATACACGACTCAGCGGTCTGCAGGTAATCGCATGCCATCAAGAAGATGCAAAAAATGTGAACATTGACACATTTATTGAGGACTTTGGTTGTTTGAAACAAATAACAATATCCTTTGCTTTTAAAAATCATTGCACATTTGGAATGCTCTATTGACAATGCTAGATTTTGCATAGATTTTTCATAGCACTTGCAAGTTGCACTGAAGCAAATATAAATAAATATATCAAATAATTTCTAATTATTGCTATCATATTCAGTGACAAATTTTCGCTGACAATATATTATATTTACACATCTCCCAGAACTGATCTGCCCATGCAGACAAAATAAACAACTCAACAAACCGGCAAAGTCTCATCAACAAACACGCAAAGTCTCATCAACAAACACGTAAAGTCTCATCAACAAACACGCAAAGTCTCATCAACAAACCGGCGAAGTCTCATCAATCTTCCATAACAATTTCATTGTTTAATTTAGCTGGAGAAAATGACATAAGATCTTCTATGATCTTCTCAAGAGCCTACCATCCCACTGATTCCCCTGAAATTTTGGGCATATGTCAAGTATTTACAGCAATCAGTCGAAATATATTTAGAAAGACCTAGATCTAATATTCTTAGGATAAATGTTTGAATAACTAAAATGTTGCATTGCATTATTGCTGTTAGATTATTTGTTAGATGTTGTTTCTAAAATGTCTCTCTTTCTTTGCACGACGCCTTGCATAATACAATAGTCATGGCCACAAATGTTTTACTCACCACATGGTCTTAAAAAGCAGTCTTCTCTCTGAATTTCTGGGTTTTCTATAGCTGAAATTCGCTTCCTTGTTCTCTTGCCCCAACCACAAGTCTGACCTTCTGCATAACATTTTGTCCACTCTGACCATTCAGTGAGTGATTCCTCATCTTCATCAGGACCTTTGTGTTAAGGCAAGACAATAAATATTCTGTCTGATAATTATGTAGCATAAAATAAAGATTTTCTTTCATTCTTTGAGGACTTTTTATTTTTGTGTGTGGTGAATCTTTAATATCACAGACAATAAATAAATAAATCCCATTATAAAACATAATAATAATCTAAACAAATAAAAAAAAATTGAGATTGCTAAAAAGCTACTCAAACATTTGCTCACTGTTTTTGTTCATGTACAAAAGGGTGACAAACCAATGACAATAATGATGGTCTGTATCTAAAGAGGTAATAAATAGAAACAGTGGCTTACATTTGCATTTTTCACAGGCTTGAGTTTCTGCAACATCAGGACAAGTGGCAGCAAAAGGATAGATGCGAAACCGAGTTCGGTGTCCTCTGAAGTCACCACATCGATTAGTACAGTCACCCCATTCACTCCATTTAAAGACATCACAACCTTCAAAAAGTATATCCAGGAAACAACTCTGCTAAATAACATAATTGTGTATTAAAATAAATCAAGTAAAGCAGAATCCATTTCAAATTATGAGCTGTTTTCTGAAATTAACCCTTTACTACAGCTGTAGAGGAAAAAATAATAAGAATAAGCAACTATAATTTGCCTGTATAAAGAAATGAAATAGTCAAACTATATTTTTAATTAAATATGGACAGTGAACGGTTATTAAGTCATCCAACTGGATAATGTCAGCAGTACAAAGAACTTACATTGTTCACTAATGGGGCATTAGAGACCGACCGAAAGTGATTTTCTGATTTCGGCCAAAGCCGAAAATAGGCTGAAAGTTTAAAATGACTTCCGGCCGAAACCGAAAATAGGCAGAAAGTTTAAAAATGACTCGGCCGAAACCGAAAAAATGCTGAAAGTTAAAAATGACTTTTGACCAAAGCCGAAATATTTAGATATTTTGAAATTTGTTCCTCCATACATTCTGCATACATCGAAAATGATGGGGGAAATTATAAATATTTACATTCTTTTTATAAAAAATGATATAATCTTGAATATTAATAAATAAACACCTAATACAACATCTTGTTGTTAAAGATCATTTAGTTTGTTCTTAAAGATCAGTTAGTATTTTCTTAAGGATCTTGTGTTATTAAAAGATAATTTAGTTTATTCATAAAGATCGCTTAGTTTGTTCTTAAAGATCATTGATTTTGTTCTTAAATATCGCTTAGTTGTTCTTAAAGATCATTCAGTTTGTTCTTAAAGATCATTTAGTTTGTTTTTATAGACCTTTTAATTTGTTATTAAAAATCGTTTAGTTTGTTCTTAAAGATCGCTTATTTTGTTGTTGAAGATCGTTTACTTTTGTCATAAAGATCGCTTAGTTTGTTCTTATAGATAATTGATTTTGTTCCTTAAGATTGATTAGTTTGTTCTTAAAGATCTTTTAGTTTGTTCCTAAAGAACAGAACATTTAGTTTTCTGTTAAAGATTGCTTAGTTTATTATTATAAATCATTTAGTTTACTATTAAAGATCATTTGTTTTGTTCTTAAAGATCATTTAGTTTGTTCTTAAAAATCGCTTTGTTTGTTCTTTAAGATCGTTTAGTTTTTTATTAAAGATTGCTTAGGTTGTTCTTAAGATCACTTAGTTTGTTTTAAAGATCGTTTAGTTTGTTCTTAAATGTCGCTTAGTTTGTTGTTAAATATTGTTTAGTTTGTTCTTAAAGATCGTTTAGGTTGTTCTTAAATGTCGCTTAGTTTGTTGTTAAATATCGCTTTCGCTGAGTATTAGATGACCGAAAATCTTATTCACTTGCGGCCGGATGGCTGAAAATCCAAGTCAATTTTGACCAAAACTGAAAAAAACAAGAAAGTTAACTTTTCTCTTTCGGACGAAACCGAAATTAAGCCGAAAGTTAACTTTCAGTTTCAGTCGAAACCAAAACTTGGCTGAAAGTGATAAAATGGCCACTTTCCGCACTGAAACTAAAGCCGAAGCCGAAATTTGGTCGGTCTCAATGGGGCATTTCAAATTAATTATATGGTTCACATCTACTAATTAGCAGTACAAAGTACTCAAATGGTTCAGTTACACTATTAAAGTCTATTTGGCATTAAAATGTACTTACTGGACTTAGGGCCACTAATTCGATATTACAAAGTACTTAATGGCTTGATTCCACTAATTAGGTAGTACAAAGTACTTACATGGCTCAGGTCCACAAGACCTTGTTTCACATTGACCACCATGACAAAGTGCTTTACCACATAGAGATCTACAGGCCCTGCACCTGCTCTGGTAGTAAAGCTTACAGTGTTGTTTGCAGGGACTCCATGGACCCCATGACTGCCACAGTGCATTGTCTGGAATTAAGATTATGTTTTTATTGGTCCTTTATTTGTTGAATCCTAATAATTATAACATGAGAAATAACTTACAAAATTAAAAAATTAAATAAAGAAAATATGCTTCTGAAAATGTAATCCCTAACATTAATTTGTATAATTTATTTTTTAAAACAATTAGTTTCATCAGTGTAAGCCATATTTTCATGAAATCAATTGTAAGAATCAAATACAAATACAACAATTGGAAATAAGAAAATAAAATATCGTTGCCTCGACCAGTAATTAAAAAAAACAACTTGTAAAATACAAATCAAAGGAGTGAAATCTATCTCACAATTGGGAATAAGCTTAATCTGAAACGATTTTTCTGACTTCACTTTTAATTTGTTGTAATTTGTTAAAAAGTGGTGAACTTGTCTTTAATTCAAATAAGAGAAATCATTTTATAAATTTATTATTCCAAACTAAATGAATAAACTTACAGATGCAATTAGTACACTTTGTAAAATAGAGGTAGATATTTTAAATTTCAGTTGTTAATGTAATTTAAGGCTTACCTTTGATAATTGGGTCAGCAGTACAATTTAAATTTCCTTTATGACATGTACTGCCGAAAGAAGTTTATTTAAACAATTTAGCTATAAAAACTATTGTTAAATATTAATATTTAAATATTAAGTTATGCCATGAATAATAACCATAGTAATGTTGTTAGAATGTGTAGTAAGTTTTGATGTTATTAGAATTTTTTTATTCTAGCAATAACATAACCTTGTTATCCTTTCTGCGGGAATAAAAATTAAATGTTTTATTCTATATTCAATATTCTTATGTTCATTTCAAGCTTTTATTTGTGTTCTAACTTTCAAACTTAAAATCATTGTTTTCAAAAAAGATAAAAATGACATAGACTTTTAGTAAACATTAGTTTTATTATTGATGAGGTTTGATTTAAATCTTTTGCTTTAACCTTCTTGGGACGTGAGGGCCGATCTATCGGCCCAAGGTTGACTTAGAGAGAAAGACGTAAGTCCGAGCCATCGGCCTGATAAATCGAGCCTCACAATTGGCTGGCTTTACTTTGTACCAGCGAATCAAAATTATTCTTATGTATTCCTATACATCCCGGCATTGTAATGGCGGCGTTCGTTGATAGGGAACTAGATTTATTTGTGTGCAGGAATTTTGTGTTGTGTGTGTAGTTACTCCGTGAAATTTGAACATGTCTGACAATGACTCTGATCAAACTGTGCTTAGTAATTTTGATGTTCTAGCAGTGAATTTGACACTGAAACTGTTGAAAACAACCAGGAAATTAATGAAGACTTTCAAATTGAGGGTAATGCTAATGTTGTGAGCTCTTGGTTTAGTATTACTAGTATTAGGGGGTCCCCAACTGGACAGGGATGACCCCTCTGAATTTTTAGACAACATAGGTCCTATAAATAAGGCATAAGCACACCATTTGAGTACTTTATGCTATTTTTTACACTAAATATCACTCAAATGTTTATGAGAGAGACCAACAGATATGCAGACAACTTTCTCAGTAACATCCAGCTTAAGACAAGGTCCCTAGGTCATAAATGGGGCCTGTTACAGTGTTTCTGTAACAACTGAAAAATAGGGTAGGGGGATGGAAAAAGGAGTATAATTATGTGCCAGATGTATCTGAAGGGCCTCCATGGGCCTTGTGTCCCAAAAACCTTAGTGTCAGGACTTATTCAGGCATCATCCATAAAAAAATTCACACAATTGATACATGTCATGTTTGTTTTAGGTTTAACAAAAAATACATGCATAAATTATGCAAATCAGGGTAGGCCATTTGCATAAATGTTGATATTTCAGTTTGATTCATAAAGATTGTATTAGTTCATTCAATTTCCTACAAGAATATATATAGTTTTAATTATATTAAAGGAATTGTTTATTTTTTATAAATCTTTTTGCAATGCGAGTGCCGAGCTCGTAAAATGTGCTCAGTCTTTTTGGCACATACACCCTGAAAAGGCTCTGTCCTAAGAGGGTTAAATTAAATAAAATTTAAAAAATACAATGAAATATATCATTTATTTTGATTATAATTATTTATAAAGCAACTTTGAGGAGTTATAAATGCTTATGATAATTTACACATATTATTATATTTGTGCCAATGACAATCACTCCAAAAAATGTAATATGCATTTATAATAGTGCTGGAGTGTTATAAAAATGTAGTAGATAAAATCATATAAGCTATGTGAGTTTACAAATATTTAAGTAAAACAAAAGATTACCATATATTGCACTCATCTATTCTGTAAGTATCTCCATCATTGACAACTGTAAGGTTTTGGGTCAGACACCTGCACTCATTATTTATACATTCTTTGGACTCCACCAATCGTATGCTGCATTTGCGGTACTGGCCAATTCTTGAAAGAAACAGTACAATAATTTTAAATGTGATACCATTAAAATTTGTTTATAGAATTTCATTTTAAAATACTATTAAAATTCTTTTCGCATTCCTCTATCTTGATATTTTGAATAACTTTTGGAAAAAAAAACAATTCAAAGAATCTTTATTAAACATAATACTACGGTCGACGTGGAAAAAGTTTGCAGTGGAAAATAAAACACTGAATAGTGAAAAATATGATTAAGGTGTTTTCAGGCATTTTTCTTTAAAATATTAAGAATTAAAAAAAGTTTTGAATGATAAAAAAATAATGGAGAAGCAACCGTCCCAGTCTTTAATGTAATGCTTTAACTTTTCATGCTCAAAAATATTCTGATTACAAAAGAAAATGTACCGATATCTTGAAGATGTTCCATTTCCACAAGATGCAGAGCAGTCAGACCATGGAGACCACTGATCAAATTTGTATAAAACCTCTAAATCTGGTTTGTGTGGATAAAACTTAATGTCACTTCATAAAAGCAGTTCAAAGAAAGCAAAATAATAAAAATAAATTATATTTGAGGGGCCCATTTATAATTTCTGATTGTGCATCACTTCAATAATTCTCTAAAAATTGACAATATTTCACTATATTTAAAAGGTGTCTACATGAACATGATTATATATGTACAAAATGTATCTAATTAAACATATTGCAGTGTAATCGAAGAGCTATGCTTGTATTCCTTTACATGTAAACCAGTTTCACCTGTTGACTGATCTTGGCAAACGTTTCCATGTTCCCCACATTTGCTATCAGAGAAATCAAACAAATAGAGTTATAATATACATTAAGCTGTTGTAATAAAAATCCGTGATTTAAAACTAGACTATACAAGTCTATAAACTTAAATTATATAAATGCTTTACTCAACAATTATATACATGCATACATTTATTTAAGAAGTTCTTTTTTTTTGGGGGGGGGGGGGGGGGGGGGGCATTATTATAATTTTTTTAACATTGGGAAGTATAATTTTTTATTAAGGGGCCATCCATAAATTTTACAACACAAATTATGGCCATTATTGACCCCTCCCTCCCCATTTGTCACAAATCGTCCACAAAAGTTACCCCCACTACCCTGAAATATTACTTTACAAATCTCTGCGAACCCCCATAAAAATCACTCTGTCCACTACAAACACTAAAAAAAATATCATATCCCATGGATATTGAATTGCTGCACCTGTGCCAGAAACATTTCCCTATAACATTGGTTCTTAACCAGTCCATAAAGCACCCCTTGAGGTGCGGAAGACACAGAAAATTGTACTAGATGTCATTCACTGTGAATCCTTTTTCTTTTTTAATTAGGACCAAAAGATATAAAAATTCTTTTGCACTCCAGTCTGTACAAATTTACCAGCGTGCACCCCTAGCAGTTATCTAAATGATCACTTAATTAGTCATTATTGTCACTAAAAGAGTTCATTAATGGCTGATTTCCATGCTAGAGAAATACTTTAGATGTCTTGTGTTTAAATTGCTATATAGGTATTGTAAAATTTTGTTTTGATTAAAATATTGTTTTTATTTATGTAATAAAAATAAATTTGTACTATGGAATAAAAATTCAATTATTTGAATCTTTTCTTACTTTATCCTTTTTTATTCATTTTGATTAGCAGCAGTAATGTTTTTGTGGTAAATTTTGTTTGCACAGGAAGGGGCCATCCTTTAAGTAGGCTATATCACATTATTTTGAGACAATTTTAACCTCCCTTCTCCTCTATTACAATGTGTCACAAATTGCAGACACCCCCTCCCCCTCTTTTTAAAGAATGTTACATATTCCAAATAAAAAATTAAAAATAATTAAAATTTAATGTAAAAACACTATTAAATTTATAAAAGTGAAATCTTCTGTCAGAATACATCTATCACAACAAAAAAATTTAACATCACTGTCAAGTTGAAGTTTTTTATGTATGATAAAAATATAAAATATTTGACAAACTGTCACACTTTCTTTGACCCCATTTCCCCCTCCAGAGCATGATGTACTTTAAGGATGGCCCCTAATTGTATTAGTGCATTTTTTTCTTGTTTCTAGAAAGTTAATTACAGAAATAAAACTAAAATAATTGAATTATTTAAATTTTACAATTTTATTACAATTTTATTTATCAGGAGTGGGGCTGGATGGGGCGTTTGTAGTGATTGTTGTGCAATTGAGAGGGGATACAGCACTGCAAAAAGGTTAACCCTAAAACATTTATTGAGATCACCCCCCCCCCAACAAATTATTATTTTTTCTGTTTCATCAGACTTCATGTGGTAGCCATAATTCTATGACTCTCAACTCTCATCTCCACATTTTTACATAAATCCCCTTACTGCCACTGCACCCAGATTCTCCTCTCCTGTGGCGTCCTGTAAGAGCCATTTTTAGCACCATACATACCTGTACTGATTCTTTCATTGATCGTAGTAATAAAATAACATTAAGTGAGCTTTAATTGTTATATAAAAGAATATTATAAAAATGTCTGTATTTCAGTGTTATTCATTGTATTTTTTCCAATAATGTTCTGCTTTTTAAGTGATGTCACTATTGTTACATTGCTTTAACCTCCCACCCCACACCCCAATCACATATCACAAAAATCTTCCCACTCTCCCCCCCCCCCCCCCCAGATGTGTGATGTCATTTATGATAGTGCTTGAAACAGTTCAAGCTATAAGATAATATATTTTTAATCAATGGATTAAATTTACACAACTTTCTGAATGCAAAAAAAATTAAATTAAGGAAAAAATAATAATGACCGACCAGTTGCTGCCAGAAACGAATTAAAATAGATAAATAAGAATTAATCCAATTTTGAAAAAAAATCAAGATTGCATATTTTTAGTGATCCTAACAAAAGGAATTTTTTTTACATAGTGAATATTTTAATGACAGTAAAAAAAAAATTAAATTAAGTTGTTTAAATTATTTTACACAGAACTTCAAATATATGATTTGTGTGTATATATATCTATAAATATATGTATTTAAGTTAAAAAAAAATAAAAAATATATATATTATGTATAGGCATCCAGTCAGCATTTATAATGTATATATTTATATAAATGTATATAGTCCTATAAGGCATGTACAATGAAAATCTATGGTATGCTATGTTAAGCATGGTTAAATAAGTACATTTTAAAAAAAAATTAATAGAAAAACTTAATTATCTATACTGACCAGATTTGGCATGATGTCTCATCAAGATATGTACAATTGAAATGTCTTTCCTTTCCTTTTCTGTCATAACAAGGACAACGTTCTTTGGGACTGCAGTGTCCATGGTCATCCATTAGTTGCCCTTCAGGGCACTCACATCCTCAATACATAAATTATGATCGTCATGCACACATCAATACAGGTGATCAACTTAATTTTTATTTGTTTGTTTATTAATCCCATGTTATTGCTTTGATACCATTTGCAAAGAGGAAATTTATGATGGTAAAATTAAATATTTACCCAATTAAAATGAATGAGAATATCAGACCTGTTTACCCTCCAACCCCTAAAATCGTACAATCTGGTCTCAAAATCGTACAATACAATATCTCAATAGTAAATAAATAAAACTACAGTAACGCAATAAAGTCTAATTATGTAACCCCCCCCACCCCCCTTTTCCGTTGCANTCAATTACAATAATAAAAAATTAGCAAAGTCCATTACATATTATGTTACAGTAAACAAAATGTGACACGGGGTTTCACCACTGGTGATTCGTCCAGCCCAGTGGTTCACATAATATATGCTACATCGGACTACATCGCCCTGGGTGCTCGCTGCCCTTGGGCAGGGCCATGAGAATATAACGAAGAGCAACCGCGTGAAAAATCGTCTATAGAAAGGAACTTAAACAGTCAATTCAACTATACAAAAACCATTTACACAAAGATTAAGAGCGCAATAAATTATCCCTTTAAATGGGTGGTGAAAAGTTTCTAAATGGGCTGATGCGGCTTCCTCACAGGGGCGTTGCGAAATATTTAAAAAATTTCAAAATTTTATTTTTACTTTTACACCTCTTTAGCATAAAAAAGCTTTCAAAAATAAAATCGCTAAATAATAGTGGAAGACTCACCTGTGTGACATTCATCTTCTTGATGACAAGATGCGTTCATTCTGAATATCCGACAACTCTTTTCACAGTCTTGTACACAAGTTGTACACCTCTTGGAAGGTTCACAAAGACCTGGATTTAGGGTTCATTGAAAACTCCAAAATTAATGTGATCTCTACAACATATCCAGGACATTAATGTGCTCCGTTCGAGATGAGCAAAATTAAGTCTATAGTCACATCAACTTTTGGATATTTGCAATAGAAAAAGAATCTTAGTTTGGCAATATTTGTCAAATGATAAAATAATGTCCTGATAGATTATGTTAAAATACAATAACTTTGTGGCAAGAAAAATAAATGTATTTATGTAGAAAAATATGGAGATATTGTAATACATAAAAAAATCAAACTATTCTTTAAAATGACAATTAAAAGTAACAGTTCTTTAATTTGATTTCCAATTAGATACATGTGTAGTAAATTTCTATTTAAAATAGATTTAAGTTGACGACTTACACGTATCTGGTGTTGAAGATGATGTTGTAGAGTGTGAACTTCTATTGTTGGTGCTACTCGTAACACTTTGGGTGGTGCCGGTTGATGGGCTTTGCGTAAATAACTTTGTGGTTGAGCAGGTACTTAAACAGCTTTTACCTTGATGTAGCACTTCCTTGTCGCAGTTGCAGTTTTTCACATGGTCTAAACATCGGCGCGTGCGAACACTAACCCTTGAACATGTCTTTTGGCAATCAGACCAAGCTGACCATTGACTGGTACAGAGCTCTGATTGAACAAATAATTACAAAATTATTTTACTTTTACCTTTATTGAAACAACTCAAAAAACATTCAACAACACTATATATTATAGTTTTGTGTGATTTAAACACATAACTTTTTTTTTTGGTCAAGCAAATAATAAAAAAAAAAAATCTTAAAAATTTTTTTTTGAAATACAAACCAATGTTTGTTGTTGTTCTCTGCTGTGTGGACGTACCAAACATGCTTGTAGTTGGGGCACCTGGAGTTGTCAGTGTGTAAGACTGTGTTACATTCTTGATCTGAGATTGTGCTGTACTAAATGTGGATTTTGGTGGCTCTGTGTTTTCTGAGGTAAGTTGTTTGGTAATGTTACTGTCAGTAACAGATTGGGAGGTGGTTTGGACATATGATTCAGAATAGCTTGATGGTGATGTTGGTGATGGCTCTGTGTTTGAGGTTGTATTTGGCTCATCAGTAAGCCTTGATGGTGATGTTGGTGATGGCTCTGTGTTAGGGGTTGTATTAGGCTCATCAGTAAACCTTGATGGTGATGTTGGTGCCTGCTCTGTATTTGGGTTGGTATTTGGCCCATCAGAAAACCTTGATGGTGATGTTGGTGATGGCTCTGTGTTAGGTGTTGTATTAGGCTCATCAGTAAACCTTGATGGTGATGTTCGTGATGGCTCTGTGTTAGAGGCTGTATTAGGCCCATCAGTAAACCATGTTGGTGATGTTGGTGCCTGCTCTGTATTATGGTTGGTTTTTGGCCCATCAGAAAACCCTGATGGTGATGTTGGTGATTGCTCTGTATTTGGCTCTGTTTTAGAGGTTGTATTTGGCTCATCAGTAAGCCTTGATGGTGATGGCTCTGTGTTTGGGGTTGTATTTGGCCCATCAGAAAACCCTGATTGTGATGTTGGTGATTGCTCTGTGCGTGGCTCTGTGTTTGGAGTTGTATTTGGCTCATCAGTAAAACTTGATGATAATTTCGGGGATTGGTCTGTATTTGGTTCTGTGTTATAGGTTGTATTTAGCTCATCAGTAAACCTTGATGGTGATGTTGGTGATTGCTCTGTGCTTGGGGTTGTATTTGGCTCATCAGTAAACCTTGATTGTGATGTTGATGAATGCTCTATGCTTGGCTCTGTGTTTGGAGTTGTATTTGGCTCATCAGTAAAACTTGATGGTAATGTTGGTGATTGGTCTATATTTGGTTCTGTGTTTGGCTCTGTGTTAGAGGTTGTATTTGGCTCATCAGTAAACCTTGATGGTGATGTTGGTGATTGCTCTGTGTTTGGCTCTGTGTTTGGAGTTGTATTTGGCTCATCAGTAAAACTTGATGGTAATGTTGGGGATTGGTCTGTATTTGGTTCTGCTTTTGGCTCTGTGTTAGAGGTTGTATTTGGCTCATCAGCAAACCTTGATTGTGATGTTGGTGATTGCTCTGTGCTTGGCTCTGTGTTTGGAGTTGTATTTGGCTCATCAGTAAAACTTGATGGTAATGTCGGTGATTGGTCTGTATTTGGTTCTGTGTTTGGCTCTGTGCTTGGGGTTGTATTTGGCTCATCAGTAAACCTTGATGGTGATGTTGGTGATTGCTCTGTGCTTGGCTCTGTGTTTGGAGTTGTATTTGGCTCATCAGTAAAACTTGATGGTAATGTTGGTGATTGGTCTGTATTTGGTTCTGCTTTTGGCTCTGTGTTAGAGGTTGTATTTGGCTCATCAGAAAACCTTGATTGTGATGTTGGTGATTGCTCTGTGCTTGGCTCTGTGTTTGGAGTTGTATTTGGCTCATCAGTAAAACTTGATGGTAATGTCGGTGATTGGTCTGTATTTGGTTCTGTGTTTGACTCTGTGTTAGAGGTTGTATTTGGCTCATCAGTAAACCTTGATGGTGATGTTGGTGATTGCTCTGTGTTTGAAGTTGTATTTGGCTCATCAGTAAAACTTGATGGTAATGTCGGTGATTGCTCTGTATTTGGTTCTGTGTTTTGCTCTGTGTTAGAGGTTGTATTTGGCTCACCAGTAAACCTTGATTGTGATGTTGATGATTGCTCTATGCTTGGCTCTGTGTTTGGAGTTGTATTTGGCTCATCAGTAAAACTTAATGGTAATGTCGGTGATTGCTCTGTATTTGGTTCTGTGTTTGGCTCTGTGTTAGAGGTTGTATTTGGCTCATCAGTATACCTTGATTGTGATGTTGATGATTGCTCTGTGCTTGGCTCCGTGTTTGGAGTTGTATTTGGCTCATCAGTAAAACTTAATGGTAAAGTCGGTGATTGCTCTGTATTTGGTTCTGTGTTTGGCTCTGTGTTAGAGGTTGTATTTGGCTCATCAGTAAACCTTGATGGCGATGTTGGTGATTGCTCTGTGCTTGGCTCTGTGATTGGAGTTGTATTTGGCTCCACAGTAAAACTTGATGGTAATGTCGGTGATTGCTCTGTATTTGGTTCTGTGTTTGGCTCTGTGTTAGAGGTTGTATTTGGCTCATCAGTAAACCTTAATTGTGATGTTGATGATTGCTCTGTGCTTGGCTCTGTGTTTGGAGTTGTATTTGGCTCATCAGTAAAACTTAATGGTAATGTTGGTGATTGCTCTGTATTTGGTTCTGTGTTTGGCTCTGTGTTAGAGGTTGTATTTGGCTCATCAGTAAACCTTAATTGTGATGTTGGTGATAGCTCTGTACTTGGCTCTGTGTTTGGAGTTGTATTTGGCTCATCAGTAAACCTTGATGGCAATGTTGGTGATTGCTCTGTGCTTGGCTCTGTGTTTGGAGTTGTATTTGGCTCATCAGTAAAACTTAATGGTAATGTTGGTGATTGCTCTGTATTAGAGGTTGTATTTGGCTCATCAGTAAACCTTGATGGCAATGTTGGTGATTGCTCTGTATTTGGTTCTGTGTTTGGCTCTGTGTTAGAGGTTGTATTTGGCTCATCCGTAAACCTTGATTGTGATGTTGGTGATTGCTCTGTGCTTGGCTCTGTGTTAAAGGTTTTATTTGGCTCATCAGTAAAACTTGATGGTAATGTCGGTGATTGGTCTGTATTTGGTTCTGTGTTTGGCTCTGTGTTAGAGGTTGTATTTGGCTCATCAGTAAACCTTGATGGTGATGTTGGTGATTGCTCTGTGTTTGGCTCTGTGTTTAAGTTTGTATTTGACTCATCAGTAAACCCTGATGGTGATGTTGGTGATTGTTGTTGATTATTGTTTGTAATTGTTTTTGTAGGTTCTAAAAAGCTTGTAAACATTGTAGTTACTTGATTATCCACTAATGATATTTGTTCAGAAATATTCAACAAAAGCCTGGACATGTGGATACTCTCAAGGAAAGTGGTTTCAAAATGTTTTAAATTGTTGATTTTATTTTGATCAATCGTTGATGATGGTGTAGGAAAAAGCTCCGTAGAGCTTTGTTGTTTAGAGCTTTGTAGTGTAGAGCTTATATGAGAAGGCACTCCCATAGGACTTTTCAATAAAGAAGCATATATGCTATTTTCTAAATTTGTACCCGTAAGCTCTTGGTAGCTTGTTGAAAAAGTTGATGGTCTGAAAGTGTTTGATGCACTTGTTTCTATTGTAATTGGATCTGGTTCCAATCTTAAAGCTTCTACACTTGTTGGAAATATGGAGTCTTCCAGATGATATGTTCTAGAGTTAAGTATATTTGTTGATGGTTCTAGAGAGTATTGAGTTGATAGAGATGGTTTTAGTGTAGTGCCTGTATTTAAGGGAATATCAGTGGAATGAGAAAATGTAAATGCATTTGAATTTTGGGAAGTGATGTCTTGTAAAGTTTCAGTTAAATGATTGGTGTGTGGTGTGTTTAGAGAAATTGAAGGTTCAGGTTGCAAGTCTATAAAGGGAGTTGACACTGTGAATGCATCACTAAAGACATTTGATAAAGTTTTGTCTATTTGCAGAAACTTTGTTGAGTTAGTTTGTAACATTCCTCTGATAAATTTGTCTGTCGTCTTTAGACTTTCCAGAATAATGTCTGAAGAAAGGTTTACATATTCCTCTGGTGTCATTTTTGAGGCGGCGATGACTGTGTGTACATCTACAGGAACAGCGGTGACTGTGGGAACATCAACAGGAACAGCTGTGACTCTGGGAACATCTATGGGAACAGCGGTGACTGTGGGAATATCTACGGGAACATCAGTGATTGGGGGAACATCTACGGGATAATAAACAGAGAAGTTGTTTATCAAAAGATTAAAATGCCATCTATACATAACAAGGTGCCATTGAAATACATGCTAATTATAAATATTTATGAACATGTTAATAAGCGGGACCATCCATAAATGACATCACGTTTTTTGTCAGATTTATTTTTCACCCACCCCCCAAACCCCCACATACTGGATTATTCAACCCCTCCCCCAACCATATTCATAAAAAGAAGTGTCTCAAAAGAAAAAAGTTAAAATAAGTTTTATTTAAAAAAATTATCTCTTAGACGATTTACTCTAATCGGTAATACAATGACTTACTCAATCAATAATTCAATCAAACAATCCCTTACTCTATCAATGATCATTATTCATACATCACTTAATCCACCCAAGCTCATTAATCATACAATCACTTACTCCAAAAAATCATCATTCATACAATCACTTACTGCACCAAAGCTCAACATTCATACAATCACTTACTGCATCCAAGCTCACCAATCATACAATCACTTACTGCACCAAAGCTCAACATTCATACAATCACTTACTGCATCCAAGCTCACCAATCATACAATCACTTACTGCATCTAGCTCATCAATCATACAATCATTTACTGCTTCCCAGCTCATCAATCATACAATCACTTACTGCATCCAAGCTCATCAATCATACAATCATTTATTGCATCCCAGCTCACCAATCATACAATCACTTACTGCATCCCAGCTCATCAATCATACAATCACTTACTGCACCCAGCTCACCAATCATACAATCACTTACTGCATCCCAGCTCATCAATCATACAATCACTTACTGCTTCCCAGCTCATCAATCATACAATCATTTACTGCATCCTAGCTCATCAATCATACAATTACTTACTGCATCCCAGCTCATCAAAACCATCTCCACAGTCGTCATGGCCATCACAGATGAGAATGTTTGAAATACAGAGAAGACTTTTGCCACACCTAAAAAAGTCTTTTTCACAAGACACTGCAAAACAAGAGAGAAACAAAATATCTTAAGCTCAAAGTCTTATAAAAACCAATTTTGTAAGTTCCTGAAAGTCTTATAAAAACCAATTTTGTAAGTTCCCCAAAGTCTTATAAACACCAATATTGTAAGCTCCTCAAAGTCCCTTAAAAACCAATATTGTAAGTTCCTCAAAGTCTTATAAAAACCAATATTGTAAGTTCCTCAAAGTCTTATAAACACCAATATTGTAAGCTCCTCAAAATCTTATAAACACCAATATTGTAAGTTCCTCAAAGTCTTATAAAAACCAATTTTGTAAGTTCCTCAAAGTCTTATAAAAACCAATATTGTAAGTTCCTCAAGTCTTATAAAAACCAATATTGTAAGTTCCTCAAAGTCTTATAAAGGCCAATTTTGTAAGTTCTCAAAGTCTTATAAAAACCAACATCGTAAGTTCCTCAAAGTCTTATAAAAACCAATTTTGTAAGTTCCTCAAAGTCTTATAAAAACCAATATTGTAAGTTCCTCAAAGTCTTATAAAAACCAATATTGTAAGTTCCTCAAAGTCTTATAAAAACCAATATTGTGCGTTTCTCAAAGTCTTATAAAAACCAATATTGTAAGTTCCTCAAAGTCTTATAAAAACCAATATTGTAAGCATTGATTGACACCCTTGATAACGGGTCACCCTTTGACACGATTGACTCACAGTGGACTCATTTACGTGAGGCTGTGTACCATTCAGCCATCTCCAAATATGGAAATAAGGGAGCATACAATAAATACTGGGCATCAAGGCCGCATTAGGTCCACACATTTCAAAAATTGCACCCTTCAAGTCCAAGGCAGGTCAAGTTATCGTGAAACCAAACGATCAACTTCGGCGTTGGGTTAAATATTATCTTGAAACATGCATAACAATGAATTGTGTAACTGAGACCGCACTGGATAATATCCCTGAAGAAATAGATGAAGAGCCAACTTTTCAGGAGCTTGACACAGCAGTTGGCTTGAAGGATTGATGGCATTCCTGCACAGTTCCACAAAAATTTAAAACCTATGCTACTTCAGTCCTTTGTCTATAATGGGAAACAGGTCACATTCCACAGGACATGCAAGATGCCATCATCGTACAGGACATGCAAGATGCCATCATCGTACAGGACATGCAAGATGCCATCATCGTACAGGACATGCAAGATGCCATCATCGTACAGGACATGCAAGATGCCATCATCGCACAGGAC